TAGTGTGTTTTTCTTGTTTAGTATTTAGAAATTTTTTTTTTTTTTGGTGAATGAAACAAGCTTGATTTTGTGTGCCTGCTTATGCGCAGCTAAAGGGACTCAGCTATAAGGTTGCTTTTGTGATTTGAGCAGGGTACCTTCTCCACTCCAATGTCACAGCTCAAGAACAATGCAAAGGAAAAGTAGTCCAGTGACTGATCTTAATTTTCAAGGCATAAGACTTCAGTCTTTTGATCCCTTTTCCACTCCTGCAACTTAGATATTAGATCTGTTTTCTTAATTTTAGGAGATTTAACTCAATGCACTACATTTCTTGTATCTTAGAATAGTTGATCAGGAGTTCATCAAAGTAAGCTGATTTGAGCACATATTTGAGATTTGATTGTTGACTAATATAAAGGTAAGAAAACCCATACTACTACTACTAACATGTCTGATTGAGAAAGAAAAAGTAATTTTTCTCTCTGAAGATGTGAACCATCAGTTGTACCGTTCAAAGCTAATACATACACTTTACGTGAGTTATTGCAAGGTAACAGGCATCTATCCAGAAACTACCAACAAACTTGTTTGAACTTTAGAGTAAGTTGTGGGATGTCAGTGGGACTATTTCAAAGCAAAAAACCTAAGTGTTATCAGGACTGTGGCCATAAATTTTGGTTTCATATTGCCTTTCGGAAAGTCACTGAATTTCTGTGATAGAAAGGCTAATCAGAGCATGTCTCTGGAGCTTTTTCAGTAAATACTAATTATATTCTGATATATTTTATCTGCCATTAATGTATACTGAAGAGTTTTGTGTTAAATTAGTATATTCTCTGCTTACCCATACTATTGAGAAAACTATTTCAGTTTTCCATTTTATTTTCATTTTAGAAAATTTTGAACAACAGTAACAAAAGCTTGCTACGTAATATACAAATCCTAATGTTACAATTTTGATAAGGTATGATATTTACTTGCCAGACATCTCCAGGAAAAACCCCACCTTATTTCAGCTAATGTCTTTAAAGGAATCCTGTTTCTCTTTTCCTCCTCCCTCTCTGCTCCACTCACTGAAAAGCCAATAAAAAAATTCTCCTCCTCTCCGGTTCAGAACAAGATCAATGTGCATTTCTCCTAGGCATGTTTTGACATCCAGAAGGGGGTGAAAATAGTTATAGTTAATGTGCAACAGGAATCTGAATTTCAGACACAAACTTGTACCTTTCCATTGATCCTGCTGACATGCTGCAAGCTAAATATTAAACATTTTTTGATCAATTCAAGTCCAGCCTGCGGAGAAGAAACAGTTAAAAAAATGTCTCAATTTTACTTGCAATCAGCTAATCAGACTTTGTGTGCATCTGTGGATGGTACAGAACTGAAATCAAGCTCTGATAATGAAACCACAAATGAAAAGTGGACCGAAGACTCCTTTCCAGGATTAGAAATACTGTGCACAATTTATGTTACATATGCTGTGATCATTTCTGTGGGTCTCCTTGGAAATGCAATACTCATCAAAGTTTTTTTCAGGATTAAATCAATGCAGACGGTTCCCAACATCTTCATCACCAGCCTGGCCTTCGGAGACCTGCTGCTTTTGTTAACATGTGTGCCTATAGATGCAACACGTTACATTGTGGATACCTGGCTTTTTGGAAGAATTGGGTGCAAGCTGTTGTCTTTTATCCAGTTAACATCAGTTGGAGTATCAGTGTTTACCCTGACTGTTCTCAGTGCTGACAGGTGGGTCTGCGCAACTGATTTGCCAGGAGATGATGCAGGTTTGAAGTAAGAAAATAATAAAATGGCAGATATTATAATTTTTCAGAGTCTTAAACAGCACATTGTGCAGACTAAAAATCCCAAACTACCAGTCTCCCATGTAACTTAAAAATATGTGTTAGTAAAATTGTAGCACTTCTTTTGAAGGGACTGAAGCACGAAAAACTCTTTAACTCTTCTGACCTTTTATTAGTTTGAAGTACAGTACAAGGGTTTTTCTCAATTGCACAGAAAAGTGAAATGGCGTACATTGGGAAAAGGACAGTGTATTGGTGCTATCTAGTGGTACAGTGAAGTACTCAAGGAAGATGAAAAATAAAACTGAATATGAGTGAAAATCCTTTAACCTGTGCACTCAGGGAGGCTTTAAAATCCTAGAACATAAAAATCTGTCATGGGATAAAAAGCCAAAAGAAAACACAGAAGAGACTGGGGGACAAAGGAATGACTCTCATGATTTGATGGCTAATGTAATTTTCACCTTAAAAAGTGTTGTTTGTTTTTCTTTTTTCTCTTGCAGTTCTTTTATCTTTTACAGAAATATTTTAGCCCAGGGGTCATGAAATTAAACTCAGGTTGTAATGACAGCATTGCTAGGAGGGACTGGTGTTCTGACTGCTGTCAGGAAGTGCTGAATCTGTTTTCTGTATACTTCTTTCTTGAATGAACAAAACTAAGATGAGATTTCAGTTCGATCAGCAGAAGCAGGAGCATTGAGGAGTAGAAAAACAAGAAAATTATATTTAGTATTAAGAGAGAAAAAGATCTTCATCTTGACTGCCAGAAATTGCGGATTGTATGTAATAGCAAATTGTTCATGTTCATTCAGAATTTTACCAGTGGTACTGTTACTGTACTCCAAAATAATCAGCCAGCACAGGAATGGCCACATAGGGTCAAATCAAGGATCCATGTAGACCAATACCAGCCTCCAGCAGTGGCAGTATAAGAACAACAAAAGACACATAGGAAGAATAAAAACCTCTGTCCAACTACATATTTAATCCCATGCCTTCAGATGACACCGAACAGATGTGGTTTCTGTCTATTTAATAATCTCAAAGAATTTCTCTTCTGGATACTTGTTCAGCCTCTTCTCAAACTCGCTTAGCAATGACTATCACTGCTTGTACAAAACAACTCCTTTTATCTCTACACTGCACATGGCTACATTTGATGGTGCTTGCACTTGTGTTAGAAGAGACAGTGATCCCTATTCATGTCTCCAGGCTATTCATGTTGTAATCCATCCTCAGGTTCTTTGTGTTTCTTTCAGTTAAGGTGTGCAGAGCAACACATGGTAATCAAAATTTGCATGAATCATGGATACAGGTAGTTGCACAACTTTCTCTTTTGCTCTCCATTTATTTTCCTAATACTACCTAACATTTTGCTTTTTTGTTGTTGTTTTAGTTGAGGTTTATTTTAGGGGCTTTTAACTACTGCTGAAGACAAAGCTAATGTTTACACCAAACTATCTATTGTAGCTCCAAGGTCTTGGTCCTCTAGGATGTCAATTCAGAATTCACCATGACTAGATGACCTTTAAAGATCCCTTCCAACCCCAACTCTTCTCTCATTCTATGGTTTAGACACTTGCTTATGTATTTAATTATTCATGGTAGCTGTTATATATAAATACTCTGCACCACATTATTACAGATTAACTACATCATAAACTTACAGAGCAAGCTCAGATCAGTCTTGTGCTTAATGCCAGACTGCCATGTTCCAATATGCTAAAAGAACTCAAAGTCAATAAAAATTTTATTTATTTGATAAGTAGCAAGCCAGCTTCCAGCTTTCTATTTAAATTTGCCTAGAGGAGAAAAAGACCAGATCCTCAGCTTGTGCAAAATGGTACAGCTAAGCTGTTTTATCCTCTGGGTCTCTTTTCACCGCCTTTCTTTTCGTGCCAGCCTTGTGTCCCAACTAGAGGGGTTGCTTCTTTCTACATTATCAAGACTCCCTAGTCCTTTAGGGACAGGGTATATTGTTTCCTGTGCTTCCTCTGCCTTCATGGAAGTTGGTCTTCCTCCATGTCCCACTTCCACACAGATTATCACACATCTACAGATAAATGCAGATTTTTTCTCATATGCCTGACTCAGTCCACATGCTGCAGAATCACAGGCATGAATAAACAGCAGTGCCCTCTCCTGCATAAATATGTTTGAATCCTGGAGCATTATTTTGAGTCAGATCACTGCACTCAGCAGGGGTCTTAGGAAGACGGAAGAAAGGAGGGGCGAACATGCTTGGTTTCACGTATTTATAAAATAGTTAACCCGTTTCATAGAAAAACTTCATCAGTTTTGCATACTAATTTGTGCCCTAATATTGCATACTAATTCCCTCATTTATCTTTCAAGGCAGTATCATGAAATTAGGAGTGATAATTGCCCTTAGTGATCCCAATCCAAACTTTAGAAGTCATCTTTACATCGGAAGGTTTTAATGGCAACTCCTGCCTGCCAATCCATTAAAATACATGCTTGAAATTAATTTTTACATTTCCATTTTAATTCCAAAGAGCTAGTGTCTGTTTTCATTTCCAAGAGGATTCCAGCACCTTTTGTTTAGCAAGACCAGTAATGGCTTTAGCCTTAGGAATTTTGCAGTGTCAGTGCTTGCATTATTTCTCTGTTCTGACAGTGATGTTGGTCATTTTAGGTACAGAGCCATTGTTAAACCCTTGGAACTGCAGACTTCAGATGCACTCCTGAAGACCTGCTGTAAAGCTGGCTGTGTTTGGATCGTCTCCATGATATTTGCTATCCCAGAGGCTCTTTTTTCAGATTTGTATTCTTTCAGCAATCCTGAGAAAAATGTAACTTTTGAAGCATGTGCCCCCTACCCTGCATCTGGGAAGATCTTACAGGAAGCTCACTCCCTGGTTTGCTTCTTAGTGTTCTATATTGTGCCCTTAGCTGTCATTTCTGTCTACTACTTTCTTATTGCCAGAACTTTATATAAAAGTACATCCAACATGCCAGCAGAAGAACACGGTCATGCCCGTAAGCAGGTAAGCTCTGATCCAACACTAAACTGAAAACTCTAAACACTAAACTAAACTAAACCAATTTTCCAAAATCTATTGTGCTGATTAGATCCAAATTCTTAAGTATCTTTGCCTGACAATGGAGTAAAAAGCTCCACAAATTCAGCCCATACCAAATTTGAATCCAAACTCAGCTGTGCACTTAGGCACATGCTCCCGACTCATTATTTGTGAGTGTCCGTGCTTTCCTAAAGAGAGACAGCTCTGTCATGCTTTACCATGACCCTGTAAACTCAAGAGTTAAAACACTGAATTTTAAACACTGGGACCACATCCATGTGAGCTGACATATTAATTACAGTACTTTTAAATCCTAGTCTAGATAAGAGTGTCATATGATTTATAATGGAGAGGAAATGTGCTCTGCACTGGGAATACTTTGTTAAAAAATTATAAAATAGATTTATTTTCCTGTTTATCTCTTCTGGTTTGGGGTTTTTGTTTGGTCATTTTCCTTTCTATATTTTGCTTTTTTGGTTACTTGTGCCTTTCGACTTTTACACTGCTTTGCAAATCAGCACCAACAACACAAACGTTTTAATAATTGCTATTAATACCAGCTATGAATTACTTTCTTGTAGATTGAATCCCGCAAGAGAGTTGCAAAGACAGTGCTGGTGCTTGTGGCTCTGTTTGCCTTCTGCTGGTTGCCCAACCACATCCTCTACCTGTACCGCTCTTTCACATACCACACTTCTGTTGATGCTTCCACCTTTCATCTGATAGCAACTATTTTTTCCCGTGCCTTGGCCTTCAGCAATTCCTGTGTCAATCCTTTTGCTCTTTATTGGCTGAGTAAAAGCTTCCGGCAACATTTTAAAAAACAAGTATTATGCTGCAAGTCAGCATTCTGTGCAAAGCCTTCCAGTGCTCCCCAGAGCAGTTCTCCTACCAGAGCCCCATCGATCATGGGCAGCATGCATGGCTCAGAAATCAGTGTTACACTGCTAGCAGATTATAGCATCACGAAAGAAGAGGAAAGTGTTTAGTCCGTGCGGGATGAAGAAGGACAGAAACTGAATCATTGCAATCAAGTCACTGCTACTGGCATCCTGGAAAGGGGTGCCATGGCTTGCCCTGTCTGTGAAAGTGTGTTCATCAGGAGTTCCTCATTTTTCAAACCATAGAATAAAGAAATCAAACTGTGTGGGGGAAGAAGCTGCAACAGTGGAACTTTCCAGCATAAGCTCAAAAGGATTACTCACGTTCCCATGCATGAATACAGATTCTTAGCCAGAATTCCTGGACTGGGCAGGAGGGGACTTAGATTTGGTAGACAGTTTTGTCATTGGTGACTTGCTCATTGAGTCATGACTGAGAGCTGGTTCTGACAACTACTTGCATCTACAGCAAACAAGCAAAGCCACATGATCATAACACAATCAATCAGGCACATTTTTGATTAATTTATTTTCTTGTCCTGAATGCTAAAAATGGGTAAACACAAGAGAAGGAATGCTAAAATGAGAGAAGACAAAGGTTTGTAGCGCTGTGAAGTAAAAAAAGAAAAAGCATTATGGGCCAGATCCACAGTAGTTGTTGCTCTGTCAGTGACTTAGAAATTCTGGATAAGAGCTGACTGCTTTGTAGTGAGATGGATGTTCCTAAGGAAGTCAAGGGAACGAGCAGGTGATCATCACTCTGAGAAATTTATAATCACCTTTAACCACACTTGTAAAATTGTTTTTCATATATGGGTAAAACATCTCGATAGTTCTTTATCATTACAATGATTTAACATCAAGAAATTGGGGTGGAACTGTATCAAGAGTTCGATTTGGGATTTACAGTGCACTTCTAAAGTGCTCAAACATCCCCTCCTGCCTTACTTTATATCCCAAAGTGGTCTTGAGTGCACAACCTTGATTGCTCTCAGATGGAACTGTGTGTCCAATCTACCTAACCAGACTAGAGCGAGTTTGAAGTGAAAAATGTACAGTGTGGAGAGTCAGACTGACCCTTTACCTGCACAGATCCACTCCTGCTGTAATGTATGTGGTTGTATCTAAGTGGTCTACACATATTCAAGCACACTGGGACAGTTGTTTTTTTTTCACTATACTAATTTTCTATTCTTCAAGTTGTATCCCGTTTTAATATTAGGATGGGCTGTCTTAATGCCATAGACCTTCTAATATCAAATCCACTGATTTTATGACTAGGCTTGCAGACGCAAACCAGGACAGCCTGTCTGTGCTCAGCAGCACTGCTGGCGGGGACTGCCTTCCCATTAGGAAGTACAGGAGGCAAATCTTCCTACCCCATGTTACAAAATATTTGCGTGACACTTATTTTTATGAATTTTGTGTTCCCTGAACCAAAATTTTTGTTCTGTGGAAGCTGGTGATAGAAAACACAATTGATTATCCATTGCTTAAACTGAGGGACTTCTACTCCAAAAAAGAATTTGTGAGTTAAAATATAGAACAGAATTTGCAACATATGAATTAAAATAATTCTGTCAGTCACAGAAGCTTCAATTTTAACTAACTCTTGAAGGTATAGCCCCCCTTCACCTGCACAGAGCCCCTTAGCAACATATGGTTGGAAATCCATCTACTCATGCACCATTAACTAAGTTGACTATAAAATGAGAAAATGTATTTACAGACTCACTCTGTTGCCTGCTCCAATCAGAAAAACAAGGCCAAACTATAAACCCCGGGGGCATTGCAATACAACCTCTGTTGTCATCGTAAACCAGTTAATGACAGACCAGTTTAATCCCATCAGACCTGGCCTTGTTTTACTACAGTGTTCATGTTACAAGCTGCAAGGCTACAAGCACTAATTTTCAAATTGATTCTTCCTTTTATTGAACCAATTTCATACCAGGACAGGATCACTAAAATAAATGGAAATACAATAACACAGAAATACAATTTATGGCATAAAAGACTCCAGAGACCTTATTTTACTCTCTTTGTCTCAGTGTAATACATTGCCTGGTAGAGAGCTATGCACAAATATTAGAAACATGTTGCACTGCTATTTTCTTCTTCTCTCTTTCCTTCGTGGAGCTGTATGGTGAGACTAAAATAAGTAGAGAAGCGTACATACTAATGAACCTATGTTTATCTTCCTTGATCTTACTACAGGGAATTCTAAACAAAAGAAATATCCACCAACAATACCATTGCCTACAACATTCTTTATTCTAGCTTAGTAATCCCTTTGGGAAACAGATCTACATGTTTCTGGACTTCACAATTTGTCTCTGTCAGAGACCAAATTTTCCACTGCAAAATCTTTGGCTACACCTCACAGTAGCCCTTAAAACCCAGTTTCCTAATTCATTATTTTTCTTCCTTCGCATGCAGCTACTTTTCGTTTGTGTAACTACTCCTCTAACTGAATTGTCGTTCTACTGCTAATATATCCTGTTACAAAACTGATGGTTTTGCTATATTCTGCACATGTTCTGTTTAAAGACTGGCAATATTTCAAGCCACAATTTAATTATTCTGTGTACTTTATGCTTTGATAATTCTGTACTTTCAAATCTTCATGGCATGATGTATTGGAGTGATACATGGGCCAACATATATTTTTATCTAACCAATCTGATATTTTTAATTCCATCTACTACCCACAACATAATTATCCATACAAAGTCTCCACATTACCATAACTGGATTAGGGGAAAACGGTTGTTTCCTCTGCAATCTTTTCTCAGTCTTCCAAAACCAGGTTCTTCCATCCCTATGTAATACAAGGGTAATTCTATAAAAGCATATGGAAATACCATCTATTTACATAAATATTGAGTGTTATCTAGCAAATAAAAGGGATGAATAATTAGGGGTTCACTATTTATGTCCACAGTGTAAGAATAGGTAGAAAAAAGGCACAAAGTATTGAAAGGCAGACTCCCTCAAACGTTGTATCCATATGGAGTCATACTGAGAAAGTAAATACAATTTCTAGGATGTACTTTTTTAATAGTTTGTTTTTGTGAATGAGACATACACATTTCATGTTCAAACTACCAACACTTTTAATATCAGTAGTTAGTTAATCCCCACAAAATCCACAACAATTAAGAAACCTATGTCAAAACACCGCTAAAGTGCAAGTGGGTGGGGTACAAAATTTAGTTACACAATTATAGCCATTTTAAAGCTTTCACTCCTGTTCCCATAGAAATTGTTTTGTTTTATTTTAGATGGGCTGCCTGTTGACACTTCTGTGTTTCTGCTGAGAATATTACAATTAAAGAATAACCCAAAGCTACACATAACTACAGCACTTACCTATTTCAATCGGTGTTACTTTTAAAATGTAATATGGGCTTTAATCAGCATTTAGTTGTTGGCTCTGCCCCAGATAGTCCTCACAGTGCAAGATGAACTGTGAGGTGGAATTTCCATGCATGGGACAGGATATTGAAATTTTAGTAAATCTGCGATGGTTCTGTATTTTTTCCTACCATGAAGACTCCTCATCGCTCAGTAATCTGTGCAACAGCTACAGGCTTCAGACCCCCTGAAAAGCTCAAAGAGGCCTGTCTCAAAGTAGCCTGTCTGTACTTAGTCCCTAGTTACTGCCTCGATTTAAAAGAAAAAAACAGCTCAGGAAAATAATGTCTACCTAATTAAGGATTAGCCAGCAAATTGATGGCTCCCCTATTAAAGGAAGAAAAACACTTCAGGAAAACCAATGTATCTGTACTTTTAGTAGGTGGTACCTCTAAGACCAACATTCAGGTGGTATCTTTAGAACATCAATCAGCTCTGCTGAGCCAAAATTGGCTCATACTGACACACATACAAAATCATCATGCTAATGCCTCTTTTTAATATTTACTTTGAGACATTTTGCTATGATTTAAAACACCATTTCTTGGCAGCTTGGACTGATGCGAGATGTGGAACACTTGAGCTCTTTGCATCCTCCTCAGAAGATGCAGCTTGCAAGATGTGCTTGTGCACAGCCATGATCTATATAATTTCAAAGGTGAGATTGAAAGTTGTCTCAACCCCCCAAAATCATGAGTTTCCAGCTGAGTTGTCTGCCTGGGCTGTTCACTCTGTCTTTACCAAGGAGGAGGGAACAGATGGCAGAGATGTCGTGGAAGGCTGCACTGCAGCAGCTGCTGTCACAAGTTCTGTTATGTGAAGGAAGTATGAGGGAACTCTAGGCAGTTTGTCCTCATAACTACATCAAAGTGTGCAGAGCAGATTTACTGAGCATTGACCCTGCTGCACACAAGCACTCTCTCAGTTGCATTGGATTGAGAATAAATTTGGATTTCCTGCTCCCCAGGACTATCCCAGTGCCTCGCTGTAGGCAGACCTGCACAGTAGGGAAAGCCGTACAGACCTCACTTCAATAACTCAAGTAATAAACATTAAAAACCCTGAAAAAATAAAACAAGCTGTTTAAGACTTAAATTGTGTTTCTCTTACAACGTTTAAGGCTATCATTATCTGATTTGCAAACATATGCCCATTTCCAAATTTTATAAGCAAGCACAGTTTTTGTCAAGCCTCTCATGCTCCACACCAAAATCCAGTAACTGAAAGTGAAGACAAATGTCCCTTAGGTGGTAAATTTATAAGGGATCACAAAGCAATCTTTAGACAACTACCATAATAGACCTGTCATGAGAAAACACTTGAAGCATTAAAGATGCCATTAACTAAGCTGGACATTCTTTGTGCAACAGCCAAAGGTTACTAAAACTCATCAGCAATTTTGTCTGACAGCCTGGTGCCCATGCAAGGAGCTGATGTTCATCTCTCCCTGCAGAGCTTCCCAATCACAGGTCTTTGATTTTATTATCATTCCAGTCTGCATATTTGTTCCTGGTATACTAATTTCCAGAAAACTTCTGTTTATAATTTTTATTTCTGAGTGGAAAAATTATTTTGCCCCAGGCAAACAGCCACGGCCAGTTTTGCTGGAGCCGTTCAGCTCAATTTTCATGTATAACATGTACACTGATACAAGGGGTTTTATAACTCTAGGTTAAGGTTTTCAAAAGAAAACAAGAAGAGTGTGCTGCTTCAGCCTCTAAATAGAAATACTTTAAAATACATTAGCAATTAAAATTCGGTTTTGATGCAATGCTGTCTGGGCTGCACTGTAAAAACCAAAAGATGACACTAGATAAAGGGCTTTTAAAAGAACTGAGAGAAATTTGTATTTAAAATATTTAAGTATCCACAGACAGTGCTAATTGCAGACTTCATTGATGCAAAAGGAATTGAGTGAAGCTGATGAAGCCAAGCTTCATCCCACTAATACGACGTACCAACCCTTTCCTAAGGGAACACAACCTCTCGGCACCCTCAGTCAAGAGGGCAGAGAGAAGCAATGCTATTTCTTGACATTTAGAGTGTCATTTCAATCTAATTTTTCTAATTTTGGTTGTGTCCCTGTCTCCAGTAGGACATGAGTACACTTGCAGTGCCAAACGGCAGCAAATCCTGCACAGCACCACTGGCAGCAAGCAGCTTCACTGTCCAGGGCTGTCGTAGGCGCAACAGGGAAAAGCATGCAGCAGGAAGGACTTTGCCCCAATATTTTATTTATCATGTAAGTAAAGCTGCAGTACTGCCCATGCAAAGCCCATCAACTTACAGCTTCTCGCCC